CCACTAAAATAAGAAAAGATCACAAAAATATTGAACTTTTGGCCAATAAAATGTTATCAAACAAAGTTATTTCTAATTCATCACAGCCCCCATCAATTTATTCCAAGTTAGCTCACAACGATTAATTAAATTTCAAATATTTCAACATGACATACAGCAACCCATAAATATATCTTTCACCATACAATTTGTGTAAACTGACAAAATGATGAAGCCATTATATAAATACTATATCACCATTTACTCTTGATAAAGATTGTTAGAGCATACATGTGCACTTTATTACATGGAAAATTTTATGAGTATATAATAGTATACACATAGCATTACACCTCCTTCCACATAAAGGGGGCCCAAACACAATAAAATATTCGTGGACCCCCTCCATGTGAGAGGGGTGTAATGCATTATGTACATCATGAAGTGTACACATAGCATTTCCCTTATTACATCGGGACCCCAAATAAATATACTCTTGTTACTACTAATTGATTCCATCTTTTCCCTTCCTAGAATTGTGATTGAAGATATTTAATCACATTCTTATCAACCTGGAATGCCTTTGTAAGAACATCACGAGAAATGGGAGGATTTGATCCAAAAATAGCATTTGCAATGGTTATGACTCCAGGATTTTGACTACTTAGACCCGCAAATGCAACAGCCTTCTTCTTCCCAACATTGAACTGAAAATGAATGAGGCCTTCAGGGAAGACAAAAACATCTCCTAGATACAGTATTTTGGTAAAGAGCTTGTTCTTCATGTTTGGATTTGCAGGATTGGAAGTCACGAACCCGACATAGAGAGTGCCTTCGACTACGACAAGGACCTCGGTTGCAAGAGAGTGCGTGTGAGACGGGTTTAGGCCATGCGGTGCATAGTCTACGCGGACTAAAAAAATGCTAAGGGTATTAAGCCCTGCTAGGTGGTTGACAGTTACCTGAGTCACTCTTGATCCAACTGAATTTGACGGATTTCCAAGCTTGTTGAAACCCGAGAAGTAGAAATTGTCGGCTGTGACCTTCTTTGGGTCCTTGCAAATATTTCCATTTACAAAAAATGCATAAAGCGAAGTCATATATAATATGTGTTATATGAATATTGTAAATTAGCAATTAGAAAAGCTTGAAATGGGTATTTACCAGTAGCATTGGAATCATTGACTGCAACACAGAAATCCTCAAGAGGGCTTGGATCAAAGGCATATACTAACAGTGGTGGCCTTGAATATAGGCGAAATAGGCGATCGTCTAAGGCCCCGCTTTGATGAGAGCCTCAAATTATGTAAAGTTAATTGATTGGTTAAAGAAAAATGAAAATTATATTTATGAAATTCTGAAAATAGAATAATCGTATACAAACATAAGAAATTAATAAAAATTGAAAATACAATATATATATATATATGGCAACAAACTTATCACCTACATTTATTTATCACAAACATTACTTTTCCTATTTATAATTAAGTTGACACTTT